CGGCGCGGCCCCTCCTCATCCTCGCCCCGCCCCGGCAGGAAATGGCGGGCGGGCCGTGAGGGAGCGGCGCTTCCCGCCCGCTCTGAGCGGCGGGGGGGGCTGCGTTCCCTGGGTGTTAGAAACAGCTATGTAACAGTGGGCTTTCACTACAGTTTATTCGCTTTTATTAAAAATTGTAATTTCTTGCAAACAATTGTGGTGAGTTTTAACTGCTCTTAAGGAATAGTAAAATTTGTAATCGCTTTTAGGCAGTGTAACAGTGGTGGGGTGTGCATATAGCAAGGCTATTATAAGAAGCATGCTTGCGAAAAGCGTATCACAAGATATTTTGCTAGTGCAAAATGTGTATCGAAAATAGCATAGGCAGAGAACAGGATATCGTAAAAAGAAAACACCAAGTCTAAAGTGGCATCAGAAAACCATGGGAAGATCACCCTGAGCTGCCTTCATGACAGACGTGACACTGAAATGCTGTGGCAACCTGAGGCGGAATTGTGGTAAACGAACTCGGAAAATCTGCAGTGTCATTTGAGGAAGTAATAGAATAAAATAGACTAAAATTAACTGTAATAGAATAAAAGACTGCTCGCTGAAAAAGCGGGTGTGCCTCTGGCATAGCCAGGCGCCCAGCGCTGTAATTTTTGCTTTATTGATTGTTCCTCGTTATCTTTTATTATAAAAAAGTGTTTAAATTTTTAAAAGATCACGCTTCGTTTCTCACAGTGGGCATGGAGGCTTTTCCAGCCGAAATGATTCCAGGATTCTGCTAGCTGTGTCCCTGAGGGAGCATGGATCCCTCCTGACCAGCTCCAGCCTGAGCCCTGCTGAAGGTTTTGTTACAGAACACCCTCACACAACTTACAAAAGGTCTTAAACCCACAAAAAAAGCCTTAATAAACTTGCAAAAAAGTTTTAATAAACCTACAAAAAAGTTTTAATAAACCTACAAAAGACTCAGTCTGTAAAAAAGGTCCTAATAAACATACAAAAAGGCCTTAATAAACTTCATAAATCTATGAGAAAGGTCTTCATAAAGCTATGAAAAGGGTTTTAATAAACCTACAGAAAAGGTCTTAGCCTACAAAAAGGTCTCAACAAACCTACAAAAAGGTTTTAATCAACTGAGTATGAGTTGATTCTGCTTTGACATCTTGGAATGCAAAGGTTTTCAATTTTTCCCTCCCTTGGATATGTGGAAGGTTTTTTATTACTTTATTTCTTCATTTCTTTTAGACCATTGGGAGGCCTCTTGGTGGTCAGCAGATTCCCCTTGAGGGGAGGCTCATCTTCCTTGGGAAGAAGTTTTCTGAGGGAATTGCCTTTTCCCACACAAGCCAACTTCAAACCCGAACTTCACATTTTCCACCTCCAGCAGTTTTTTGTTGTTCCTTTTACCTACCCCTCTAATTATGAAGTAACTGAAATGTTAATTATTGCTCTCTTGAACCATATTGGTGGGAATCTCACTGCCTTTGACCACTTTCCATGGCCATGTTATGATATATTTTACTGTGGAACATTCAAAATAGTTCTGGCATAAGCACTTGTACAGGAAGGCATAAAGCTGACATCTGTATATTCTAAAATGTGGTAGAGAATTTTTTTCTTCTTCAACAACACATGAAAGTCTGAAAAAATATTATTCCTTGTTTAGCAACAGCTGCTGGTGGGAACTTCAAAAGAATTAATGCAAAGAATCCACAAAAAAAATTCCACTTTTTCAAGTCATCGTCCATTTCCTACCTGCACTCCCAGTCCATGCGTATCAAGTTTGGGACTTCTTGAACTTTATTTAAGCAAAATGAAGCAGCTCACCTATAGAAAATGTGTTTTGCCCCTTGTGTGAATGGATTCCAGCCCTTTCTTCTTCCTGACAGGAGCATGGAGGGGACAGGCAGCAGGAAAAAACTGTTTAAGAGACAGATGGAAAAATACATCGTCCCAGGATAAAACTGTGGGATTCTTGGGGTGATCCTGTACAGGGCCAGGAACTGGGACTCGATGGTCCTGATGGATCTCTTCCAACTCAGGGTATTTCTAATAAACATCCCTCCTCAGTCATATCTCCTTTCCAAAAAGGAGAATTTGGAAGTGGAATGCCCAAGACAGTGGGAGCAGCTTAGAAGCTGGAGTGAGATTTGGAAGTCTGGGATGGGCCCAACTCTCACAGGCAGAAGGAAAGCCAGAATGAGACCAGCAGAATGGAAAACTGGGGCATCTTCTTTGTCAAAAATGCAATTCCCAACCTTGTCCTTGCAATGAACACGCACTGCTCAAGCTCTTAAAAATTAAGACTGGGGTGATTTATTAATCTTGTTAAGAACTCTGATACAAAGCACAGTAAAAGGCCACATACCAGTAAATAAAATGTGGCTTGTGAAGGCCACTTTATAAATGCTGCTACAGAACTACCAGTACAACAGACTCACTCCTGCACCAGCTCAAACACGGGGGTTCAACTGGCTTAAAAGAAAAGTTCCATTCACTTATCAGTTTAAAAAGTTTAATAAAGCTTTAAGTGTTTGCTGGTTTAAATGCTACCAATTTCCAAAGTGGATTCACGAGTTAAGTGTAGATCTAAAGGAAGTTATTAGGTCTGGAAGGCAAGACTGTTCCCAAGCCAGAGGAAACGCTGCTGGCCGGACCCAATCCTGGGAGTAGCAGACTGTGTTATAGGCCTCGAAGTCAACTTCAATTTATACATGTCATTAGCATATCTGTAAATATACAATATAAACAATTGTACAGGCGCATAGCTTTGTTCTCCACAACAGCAGACAAACTCTTTAGCTTAAGACACCTTCGCCTATCGAAACAAAAAAGGCACATCTGAACTGGATGCACGTGAAGTACTCGGGATCCTCCCTGATATCCGAGACGGGTACTCCTCCTTCATCCTTTCTCCAAACAACCAAGACAAACCAAATGTTTTGGTATTTAGATTTCAACCTATTTTTTTTTTCTTTGTCTTCAGCAGCAAATCAATGGCAATTAAGACATGGCATGAGAATATTCCAGAACAGGAGCTGTCACTCAGGAACCTCAAGGCAAGTGGTCAGAGGTTTCAAATCTGTGACGCTCTGTATCCTCGTGTTGTTTGATCATCCCATTGCTGGGTTTCCTTAATTAAAAAAAAAGGCCACTAGTGCTCAAATTTGAAAAAAATATTCCACAGACGCACCTTTTTTTTTGGCTCAGTGCAATTAAAGGATGTCAGTTTAAATTCACTTAGTGTAGTTTACAGTGCAAAAGGTCTATTTTGTGTCCTGGCAGAACGGTCGGCACTGAGGACGTGAACCAAGGCAATGCTGCTGCTCACCTGAGGGTAACGCTGTCCAACCACGCAGGCTGGAATTGTGTGTAGTCTGAATTTTTTCCAATTTAAACCTTTTTTTTTTTTTTTTTTTTGATCAGCAGCACTTTAAGAGCGTAATTTGTGAAAATACTAAAATACACTGCCTTTTTT